GTGATTATTGATATGTACTTATTTATTGCCATTTTTGTTCAGTGTGGTTCTATTTTTCTTCCCATTTCTACTGCTAATTACAGCAGTCCTTTTAACATTTCTTGCAGTGCTGGTTTGGTGCTAATGTATTCCCTTAGCCTTTTTTTTTTGTCTGGGAAGCTCTTTATTTGATCTTCTATTTTGAATGATCGCCTTGCTGGGTAGAGTAGTCTTGGATTCAGATTCTTGTTTTTCATGACTTTGATTACTTCATGCCATTCTCTTCTGGCCTGTAGTGTTTCTTGTGAGAAGTCAGCTGAGAGCCTTATGGGGTTCCCTTTGTAGGTAACCTGTTGCTTATGTCTTGCTGCTTTTAGGATTCCCTCTTTGTCTTTAATTTGTGGCATTTTAATTACTATGTGTCTTGGTGTGGGCCTGTTTGGGTTCTTCTTACTTGGGACTCTCTGTGCTTCTTGAACTTGAATGCCTTCTTCCTGCACCAAATTAGGGAAGTTTTCTCTCACTATGTTTTTGAATATATTCTCTATCCCTTGCTCATTTTCTTCTTCTTCGGGGACTCCTATGATGCGAATATTATTACGTTTCCAGTTGTCCCATAGTTCTCTTAAGCTGTCTTCCTGTTTTTTAATAGTTTTTTTTCCTTTTGTTTTTCTGATTGGTTGATTTTTTCTACCCTGTCTTCTAATTCACTGATCCGGTCCTCAGCTTCCCCTACTCTACTTTTTAAACCTTCCAATGTGTTTTTCATTTCTGATATGTCATTTTTTATCTCTTCTTTTGGTTTTTAATTTCCAATTGGCTTATTTTCAGTGTCTCTATGTCCTTACTCATGCTGTTCAGCTTCCTCAAGATCATGGCTCTGAATTCTAGCTCTGTTAACATGCCTAATTGCTCCACATTGATCTCATCTTCGGTGGAGGTGTCTTGCTCTTTCATTTGGCTTCTGTTTCTGTGTTTCACCATTTTGGCTATCACTGTGGGCTTTGGAGCCTGTCAAGTTCTCCCTGTGGGTGTTGGTGTTCTGCTGTTTGTGGCTCCCTCTCCTGTGTGTAGATAAGCGAGGGAGGACCCACGTTGAACACCACTGTCAAGTCTTACTTTCCTGGTTAAAGTTGCCAGCCCTGGAAATGTACTGTTATCCTCTAGCTTTTTGCCTGGAGGCTAGCAGTCTAGGTTAATTGATGAGTTTTGGGTTGTCAGTTGATTGAGAAACTCCTTCTGGTGCTCAGCCACGGGGCTTTCATGAGGGTTGGGTAGATGCTGGTTGTTAGTGAGCCTCAATTAGCTCTTCAATGGCCCACAGGGTGGGGTTGGATCTCCGAGGGAGGGGCTGCTGCCTCTCCTCAGAGCCCTGGGAAGGAGCAATGTGGCCACCGTCCTGAGTGGCTGCACTCAGCCAAAGCTCTGAGCGCCCTCCAAACCCCGAGTGTCCCGACACAGCTCCAGTCCAGTCTGCTCCCTCTGCCGGAGCCCAAGGTGAGTGGCTGTGGCTGTTTCAGCCTCTGTCCCGGCTGCACTTTGGAGCCGCCTGGGAGTGTAACCCGAGGGCGCTGCTCCCAGCTGAGGCGGCTGCCGAGCTGCCGACCGTGGGCTCCCAGCCCCGTCTCGTGCCTTTGCAAGCCTACCGGGATGGAGTCAGTGTCCCTCGTTGTATGGTCTTCGCAAACTGCTTTTCTGTTGGTTTTTCCCGTCGATTTGTCTGTGTTATAGTTGTAATTCCAGTTTGGTTCTGGGAGACGGTCTGTGTAGCCCCGTTCACTCCGCCGCCATTTTTCGGTTCCCCGATTCTTTTAATATTATATAGTGGCCTTCTTTGTCTCTAGTTATGGTATTCTGTTTGAAATCTACTTTATCAGATATGAGTATCGCAACCCCAGCTTATTTTTGCTTTCCATTTGCTTAAATATTTTTTCCACCCCTTCACTTTCAATCTATGTGCGTCTTTCTTTGTGAGGTGGGTCTCATGTAAATAACATATTTGTGAGTCATGCTTTCTTATCCAGTCTGCTACTCTGTGTCTTTTTTTTGTAGCATTCAAACCATTCACATTTAAGGTGATAATTGGTATGTACTTATTTCTTGTTTTTTTGTTTTTTTTTTTGTTTTTTTTTAGTGTGGTTATACTTTTCTTCCTATTTCTTCTACTAATTACAGCAGTCCTTTTAACCTATCTGGCATTGCGGCATTGCTGGTTTGGTGCTAATGTATTCCTTTAACCTTTTTTTTTTTTTTTTTTTGCCTGGAAAGCTCTTTATTTGACCTTCTATTTTGAATGATAGCCTTGATGCATAGAGTAGTCCTGCATTCAGATCCTTGTTTTTCATGACCTTAATTACTTTATGCCACTTCCTTCTGGCCTGTAATATTTCTGTTGAGAAGTCAGCTGAGAGCCTTATAGGGTTTCCTTTCTAGGTAACCTGTTGCTTATCTCTTGCTGCCTTTAGGATTCTCTCTTTGTCCTTAATATCTGGCATTTTAATTACTATGTGCCTTGATGTGGGCCTGTTTGGTTTTATCTTACTTGGGGCTCTCTGTTCGTCTTGAACTTGAATGCCTTCTTCCTTCACCAAGTTAGGAAATTTTCTGGCACTATTTCTTCAAATATATTCTCTAACCTTTCCCCTTTTCTTCCTCTTCAGAGACTCCTATGATGTGAGTATTATTATGTTTTCAGTTGTCCCACAGTTCTCTTAAGCTATCTTTCTGTGTTTTTTCTTTTGGTTTTCTGATTGGTTGATTATTTCTACCCTGTATTCTAATTCACTGATCTAGTCATCAGCTTCCTCTACTCTGCTGTTTAGTCCTTCCATGTGTTCTTAATTTCTGCGATGTCATTCTTCATTTCCACTTGGTTGGTTTTCAGTGTTTCTATATCTTTACTCATGGTGCTGATGTCCTTACTCATGTTGTTGAGCTTTCTCAAGATTATGGCTCTGAACTATACTTCTGATAATTTTCTTAGCTGCATTTCATTGATCTCATCTTCGGTAGAGTTCTCTTGTTCTTTCATTTGGGATTTGTTTCTTTGTTTCACAATGTTTGCTCTCTCAGTGGGTTTTGGAGCCTGCCAAATTTACCCTGTGGGTGTTGGTGTTCTGCTGTTTGTGGCTCCCTCTAGTGGGTTTGAATGAGTTTGGGTGGACCCACGTTAAACACCATTGTCAAGTCTTACTTTCCTGGGTAGATTTGCAAGCCCAGGAAAGGTTCAGTTATCCTACTGCTTTTTCCTGGTGGGTAGTAGCCAGTTACTCAGGGCCTTGGCATGTAGCCCTGGTGTGCATCAGAGGATTTCCAGAGGGTGGAATAGATGTTGTTTGTTAATATGCTTAATTTGCATTTTTTTCCTCACCTGGGAAAGGCTGAATCTATTTGGGGGGCTGCTGCTTTTTCCCACTGCTCTGGGAAGGAGCATACTGGCCACTCACTTTTGTGGTCACTACTCAGGAAAAACTCTCAGTGCCCTCCAAATCCCATGTGTCCGCACAGATTTCCATGTCAGTCTGCCCTCCTTCTGCTGTAGACCTCAGATCAGTGGCTGTGGCTGTTTTAGAGCTCTGTCCAAGCTGTCTACACTGTGGAGCAAGCTTGGTCTTTATTCCCCAAGGGCACTGCTCACAGCTAAGACTGCTGCTGTCTGTCGGCTCCCAGCCCGCCACCCTCTCATGCCTTTGCCTTTGCAAATCCTATCAGCGTCCCTGGTTATATGGTCCTGTCCTGCTGCTTTTCTGTTGCTTTTTTTTTCTGAGGATTTGTCTTTATTTTAGCTGTAATTCCCATTTGGCCCTCAGAACTTGTCTGTGTAGCTTCCATTCACTCCGCATTCATTTTCACATCCTCTATGCCTATCTTGTGTGCAGCTGGGTCACACAGGCCTCTTTGGGTCTTGTGGGTAGCTAGATGACACAGTCCCTTTGGGGATCCAGCTCTATGCCTATCTTATGGGCTGCTGGGTCACACACTCCTCTTTGATGCTTCAGTACCCCACAGGTCCTGTGGGTAATTGGATGGCACTGTCCCTGCTGGGTTGAACAGGCCTCTCTGATGTCCTCGCCCCCTGCAGGTCCCATAGGCAGGCAGCTGGATTGCACTAGTCCCTCTGGGGCTTTGGTTAATCACTGCTGCTGTGGGCTGCTGGGTTGCACAGGCTTCTCTGATGCCCCAGCACCCAGCAGGACCCACAGGCAGCTGGATCGCACCAGTCCTTCTTGGGGTCAGGCTTCCCACTGCACTTGTGAGCTGCTGGACAACAAAGGCCTCTGTGGTGCCCCAGGTCCCACTGCTGGTGGCTGGAGAGTGCTGCTGCCGTGTAAGGCTCAACTCCTGCTCAGCTTTTGCTGTAGTGTTTGGGGATTGGTCTCAGCTACTGGTCTGTGCTTCTGTTGCCTGGAGATGGATGTCTGCTCCCCAGCCTCTGTTGCTGGGGGTATATCTAGACTCTGATCAGGCTTCTACTGTTGGGGAGGCTGCTGGGCTCCTGGTTGTCCACAGCTTCAGCTACTGGCACCTTGGGAGCTCCACTACTGTGCACTGGTCTGTGTTGACACAGAGTCTCCACTGGTCCAATGGTGCCAGGTACGCTGGTGGGCTCAGGTTGCTGGGCCCTAGCTGCTCCCACTGCCTTTACCCAGGGAAGACCCAAGATCTTCCAAAGTTATGGGACCTCCTTGTGGCACAGGGGGAAGTGCCCTGAAAAGCAGCTTACTGAGGTAACCAGCTGCTCTCATCCACAGCACAGGAACTTTCTGTTACATGGCTCTGCACTGCTCGGGTTTGGTCATCCACCTTCACGTCCACTCACACTCTCTCATACACTAGCTCACTCTCTCACACACTCACCCTCCGTCTGGTCCTGCCCACTGCAATCTTCCCTGAACCTGCCCTGGCATTTTAAACAAATGGGTTTTTGATAAGGGATCCTGCTCCATCATTGCTGAGTTTGGGAAGTAAGAATTCCTTGGCTTCTCTTTCTGTTTTACTTCCAGTTTAAAACTTTCAAAAAGAAAAAAGACCAATATTGTTGATTCTATGTGGATGTTGGAACAATATTCTAGCAGTTTGGAAGATTTGGTCTGGGAGTGGGCTGAAGAGCTGGAAATCGAAAAACAGAAAACATAAAATTTCTAATGCAGATACTACCATCATGTGTGTGAGCACCTGAGGTATGTGAATCCTTATAGCAGTGTGTTCTACTAAAAAAAGAAAAAAAAAAAAACATAAAAAACAACCAACATATCAACTAACTGCTCTCTCTACTCCCAGTAGGCTTGAATCACATCTTCAAATCAAAGAAGAATTGGAAATCAAGGGAGGAGAGTACACTTCCTAATTTTTCACTACCTGTGGATTATGCTGGTCATATAAGTTTTGGTATCTTGGTTTTTCTATGTGTCATTTCATGACTTTGCCTGGTAGTTGACCAATTAAAACCAATCAGTTATTTGAACTCTTAGAGGAAAGTAGCAGGGTTGTTTTTTCATACCTTAGTTGAAAGCTTTATCTGTTACCACAATTTCTAAATTTTCCTAGGCACCTTATTCTGTTGTAACATGATCTTCTAGGAGATAATTGGGGAAACTAGTCTCTTGCAAAGGCATCCACCTGAGAACATTTCCCAAGGGGATGGGGTGCTGAGGAAGAAGGATAGAGAGCTGAAAAAATTCCACAAAAGCACAGACTAAGGCTTTCTGTTAAGTGCTGTATTCCAGTACCTAACACAGTGCTTAGCACATTGTAAGCATTTAAGATGTATTTGTAGAATAAATGAAAGAATTGATGTTTTCATCCAAGTGATATTTTCTTCATCATCATTTACTTGACAGTGACTTTGGAAAAATTGTGTTCTAGCAGATGTGTGCGTGGCATGGTGGGAGACCTGTGTCCTCTGAGGAATAGCTGTGTCTACTTTTCATATCAGTTGCTAAATCCCTCAAAAATGGCTGAACAGTCAAACCTGAAGGTTTTGACTTGGTCGCCTTCTACATCAGCGACATTGTGGACTTCACCACCATCTCAGCCATGAGTGAACCCATTGAGGTGGTTGATCTTCTCAATGACCTGTACACACTCTTTGATGCCATCATTGGCAGTCATGATATCTACAAAGTAAGTTAATTAGCACAGAAATATATTCCAGAGAGACATTTTATATGAGCCTCATCTACATGTACTTCAAAATTGAAGGATGTAATTTTATTAAATGTTGTTATTTATGAATTAAAATTTAAATAGTAAATTTAAATTTTTTTATTGGCATACCATTGGAAATGAAAGCCATGGATTTCTGATCAGATTTCTTTTGAGCTATTTTTTAGAACTGTGACAAAGAAGAGGTTGGGCGTAAAAGTGTTAATTGTGCTTCAGTGGCTGACTACCCACAGTGTAGTCAGTATCATGCTAGGCACTGAAGGGGTTACAGAGGAAGAAATGGTGTTTTGCCTACCAATTGGTGTTTTGCTACAGAGTTCATCTTGGTAAAGTGTGTGTAGAAATACAGGCCGTTAAAATTTGGTTTCCCCTTTAGGTACCATTTTTATTTATTTTTATTTATTTAATTAATCAATTTTTGTTACAGATGTTTCTCCCCCCCCCCAATGAGTGACCCCTCCTTCTCCCTCCCCACCCTGTCCCCAGCCTAGCTGTCCATGTCCATTGATCATGCATACATGCATATAAGTTCTGTGGTTTACCTCTCCCCCAACAACCTCTCTTCTGGGGATTGTCAGTCTGTAACCCATGCAACATCTCTGGGACTACCCTGTTCCTCAGACTGTTATGTTCATTATATTTCAAAAATAGGTGAGATCATGTGATATTTGTCTTTTTCTGCTTGGCTTGTTTCACTTAAGATATTACTTTCCAGGTTTCTTCATGTCCTCTCAAAGAATAAGATATCTTTCTTTCTTACAGCTGCATAGTACTCCATTGTGTATATGTACCACCGCTTTTTTATCTACTCCTACAATTGGACATTGGGGCTGTTTCCAGATCATAGCTATTGTAAGTAGTTCTGCTATGAACATGAAGGTACATGTATTCTTTCTGATTAATGTTTCAGGTTTCTTAGGGTATATTCCTAGAAGTGGGATCAGTGGGTCAAATGGAAGTTCAATTTTTAATTTTTTGAGGTACCACCATATTGTTTTCCATAGTGGCTGTACCAGTCTGCATTCCCACCAGCAGTGTACTAGAGTCCCCTTTTCTCCACACCGTCGCCAACACATGTTGTTAGATGATTTGTTGATGGCAGCTATTCTGGCTGGTATGAGGTGATAACTCAATGTTGTTTTAATTTACATCTCTCTGATGATTAGTGATGTTGAGCATTTCTCCATAGGTCTCTAGCCATTTGTGTGTTCTGTTTGGAGAGGTGTCTATTTAGTCCCTCTGTCCATTTTTTAATTGGGTTCTTTGTCTTCCTTTTGTTGAGTTTTATGAACACTGTATATATTTTGGAAATTAACCCCTTATCTGATGTATCATTGGCAATTATGTTCTCCCATGGAGCTGGTTGCTTTTTTTATTTTAGTGGTTGTTTCTTTTGCTGTGCAGAAGCTTTTGAATTTTATGTAGTCCCATGTGTTCATTTTCTCCTTTGTTTCTGTTGCCTTAGGTGATGTATCAGTGAAAATTCTGCTGCATGTGTCTGAAATTGTGTTGCCTACAGTATCTTCTAGGATGTTTATGGATTCATGGGTCACATTTAAGTTTGTTGTCCATTATGAGTTTATTCTTGTGTATGGTGTAAGTTGATGTTCTAGTTTCATTGTTTTTGCATGTCGCTGTCCAATTTTCCCAACACCATTTATTAAAGAGGCTGTCTTTACTCCACTGTATGCTCTTGCTACTTTTATCAAATATCAATTGAGCATATTGTCTTGGGTCCATTTCTGGGTTCTCTATTTGGTTTCATTGATCTATCTGCCAGTAACAGCCTGTTTTAAATACAGTGGCTTTCTAGTATCACCTGAAATCTGGTAAAGTGATCCCTCCAACATTGTTTTTCTTTTTCAGGATTGCTGTGGCAATTCGGGGTTTTTTTGGTTCTATATGATCTTTTGAAGTATTTGTTCTAGTTCTGTGAAGTATGTTGTTGGTATTTTGATGGTGATTGCATTGAATCTATAAATTGCTTTGGGTAGTATGGACATTTTAATGATGTTAATTCTTCCAATCCATGAACAAGGTATGTACTTCCACTTTTTTATATCTTCCTCTATTCTTGTTTCAATGACCTGTAGTTTTCTGTGAATAGGTCCTTTATTTTTGGTTAAGTTTATTCTTAGGTATCTTATTATTATTATTATTTTTTGCTTCTATGGTAAATGGGATTGTTTCTTTAGTTATTCTTTCTGTAGGTTCATCATTGGTGTATAAGAATGCCATCATTTTCTTGACATTAATTTTATATCTTGCTTCTTTGCCAAATTGATTTATTAAGTCTAGTAATTTTTGATGGAGGCTTTGGGGTTTTCTACGTATAGCATCATTTCATTTGGAAATTATGACAGTTTCACTTCCTCTTTCCAATTTGGATCCCTTTTATTTTTTCTTTCTGTCTGATTGCTGTGGCTAAGTCTTCCCGTACTACGTTAAATAAGAGTGGCGAAAGTGAGCATCCTTGTCTTGTTCCTGTTCTTAAGGGAAATGCTTTTAGTATTTGCCCATTGAGTATAATGTTGGCTATAGGTCTTTCATATATGGCCTTTATTATGTTGAGATATGATCCCTCTGTTCCCAGATTGCTGAGTGTTTTTTTATCACAAATGGGTGCTGGATTTTGTCCAGTGCTTTTTCAGCATCTGTTGATATGATCATATGATTTTTATCTTTCATTTTGTTTATGTGTTGTATCATATTTATTGATTTGCAAATATTGTATCAGCCTTGCATTTCTGGGATTAATTCCACTTGGTCATAGTGAATAAGTTTTTTCATATATTGCTGGATTCAATATGCTAGTACTTTGTTCAGGATTTTGGCATCTATGTTCAACAAGGATATTGGTGTAATGTTTTTCTGCTTTGCAGTGTCTTTTTTTGTTTTTTAAAAATAGAATTATGCTGGTCTCATAAAACCAGTTTGGAAGTCTTCTTTCTTCTTGAATTTTTAAAAATAGTTTGAGGAGATTGGGTATTACTTCTTTTTTGAATGTTCAGTAAAATTCCCCCGTGATGCCGTCCAGGCCTGGAATTTTGTTTGCTGGGAGAGTCTTGATTTCATCTTCAATTTCTTTGGTTGTTATTGGTTTGTTTAAGTATACTATCTATTTCCAGTTCTGTTTTGGGAGACTATGTTTTTCTAGAAACTTGTATATTTTGCTTAGATTGTCGAATTTGTTGCCATATAATTGTTCATGATATTTGTTAACAATCCTTTGTATTTCTGTGGTGCCAGCTATTATTTCCACTGTTTCATTTCTGATTTTGTGTGTTTGAGTTCTCTCTCTTTTTTCTTGATGTGTCTAGCTAAGGGTCCATCAATGTTGTTTATCTTTTCAAAGAACCAGCTCTTTGTATTACTGATTCTTTGAATTGATTTTTGGTCTTCATGTCATATATTTCTGCTATGATCCTTACTATATCCTTTCTTCTACTTGCTCTGGGGTTTTATTTTTGTTTGCCTTTTAGTTCTTTAAGTTGTGAGGTTAGATAGTCTATTAGAAATCTTTTTTGGTTTTTGATATAGGCCTGTAGTGCTATGAACTTCCCTCTCAGAACTGCTTTCACTGCATTCCATGGATTTTGTGTTGTTGTGTGTTCATTTTTATTGGTTTCCAGGAAGTTTTTAATTTCCTACTTGATCTCCATGGTAATCCATTCATTGTTCAATAACATGCTATTTAGCCTCCATGTTTTCAAATGTCTTTGCATGTTCTTGTTGCAATTGATTTCTAGTTTCATGCCATTGTGATCTGAGAAAATGCTTGATATAATTTCAATCTTCTTGAACATGTAGAGACTTAGTTTGTGACCTAACATGTGGTCTATCTTGAGAATGTTCCATGTGCACTTGAGAAGAATGTGAATTCTACAGTTTTGGGGTGTAATTTTCTGTATATGTCTGTGAAATCCATTTGATGTAGTGCTTCAATTAGAGTGTCTTTCCTTGTTAACTTTTTGTCTAGATGATCTATCCCGTTATGTAAGTTGGGTGTTGAAGTCTTCTGCTATTATATTGCTGTTGACTTCTCCCTTGAAGTCCTCCAAAAGATTTTTAATATATGTTCGTGCTCCTATATTGGGTGCGTATATGTTTACTAAGGTTATATCTTCCTGTTGGATAGATCCTTCCAATATTATGTAATGGCCTTCTTTGTTTCTAGTTATGGCCTTCATTTTGAAATCAACTTTATCAGAGATGAGTATTGGTACTGTAGCTTTTTTTTCCTTTCTGTTTGCTTGAAATATTTTTTTTTTCCATCTCTTCACATTTAATGTATCTGAGTCTTTTGTTGTGAGGTGGGTCTCTTGTTAAGCAGCATATATGTGAGTCATGCTTTCTAATCCAGTCAGCTACACTGTGTCTTTTTATTGGAGCATTCAAACCATTCACATTTAAGGTGATAATTTATATGTACTCATTTCTTGCCTTTTTGTTTAGTGTGGTTCTATTTTACTTCCTATTTCTTCTACTAATTAGAGTTATTTATTTATTCATTGTTTTAGTATATCTTGCTGTGCTAGTTTGGTGTTAATATATTCCCTTAGCCTTTTTTTCTCTGGAAGGCTCTTTATTTGACCTTCTAATACGAATGATAGCCTTGCTGGATAGAGTAGTCTTGGATTCAGATCCATGTTTTTCATGGCCTTGATTACTTCATGCCACTCCCTTATGGCCTGTAGTGTTTCTGTTGAGAAGTCAGCTGAGAGCCTGATGGGGTTTCCTTTATAGATAACCTGTTGCTTATCTCTTATTGTCTTTTGGATTCTCTCTTCGTCTTTAATTTTTGGCATTTTAATTACTATGTGTCTTGCTGTGGGCCTGTTTGGGTTCCTCTTACTTGGGGCTCTCTGTGCTTCTTGAACTTGAATGCCTTCTTCCTTCACCAAGTTAGGAAAGTTTTCTGTCACTATTTCTTTTTTTTTATCCTCACCCGAGGACATTCTTTTTCCATTTATTTTGTACAGATAGAGTGGGAGGGAGGGAGAGAGAGGAAAAGAGAGAGAGGGAAACATCGATGTGAAAGGGACACATCGAGTGGCTGCCACCCGCACGACCAACCAGGGCCAGGGACAAACTGCAACCGAGGTACATGCCCTTAGCGGGAACCGAGCCCGGGTCTCTCTGGACCGCAGGCGGACGCTCCAAACGCTGAGCCAAACCGGCCTGGGCTGTCACTATTTCTTTAAATATATTCTCTACCCTTGCCCATTTTCTTCCTCTTAGGGCACTTCTATGATGCAAATGTTATTACGTTTCCAGTTTTCTCACAGTTCTCTTAAGCTATCTTCCTTTTTTTTAAATTGTTGTTTTGTTTTTTTTTCCTTTTGGTTTTCTGATTGGTTATTTCTACCCTGTCTTCTAATTCACTGATCCGGTCCTCAGCTTTCTCTACTTTGCTGGTTAGTCCTTCCAATGTGCTCTTCATTTCTGGTATGTCATTCTTTATTTCCCCTTGGTTGGTTTTTAATGTTTCTATATCATTATTCATGCTGTTGATGTCCCTACTCATGCTGTTGAGTTTCCTCTAGATCATGGCTCTGAACTCTACCTCTGAAAATTTGCTTAGCTGCATTTCATTTATCTCATCTTCGAAAGAGTTCTCTTGTTTTTTCATTTTCGATTTGTTTATTTGTTTCATCATTTTGGCTATCTCAGTGGGTTTTGGAGCCTTCCACATTTTTTTCTGTGGGTGTTGGTGTTCTGCTGTTTGTGGCTCCCTGTACTGGGTTTGGATGAGCCTGGGTGCGCTCACATTAAACACCACTGTCAAGTCTTACTTTCTTGGGTAGATTTGCAAACCCAGGAAAGATTCAG